TATATATGTATATATATATATATATATATATATATATACATATATAGTTATTTAATATTGACTTTGATTTGAGTGGTTTGCATGTGCTTCCTGAATCTAAGTGTAACTTTAGCAATACTGACATAATAATATCAAGTCGTCATGCTGTAAATGTATTGTTTTTTTAATCAAGAGTTCCAATCAGTATTGATTTATTACTTAAAGATATTTTTTTTCCCTGGTGTATCATCAAAATAAGTGGACTTCCTGACTGTCAATCATCCTGGTGATATGTTTACATAAGGCCGTCTTATGTTGTGCTCGTCCCCATTTTCACCTAATCCTAAGCCGAGAAATAGCTGGCCGTTGAGAATAACCTACCCTCTCGCACACTGATGACAATACGTATTGAAATATCATATAACATAGGAAACTTTTAAACATATTGTTAATGTTTTTATATTTCTTATGCATGGGTGTCCTAAAATTAAGAGTTTTGGTAGACAGATAAATTGGAATGAATACGATTTTTATTTTTATGGAGACCAGTTTTAGTCGATGTGCTACAGTCTGGGTCCAATGAATATATTCTCTGCTTAGTGGGTAGTATTTCCCCCTTTTGCTATCAACACCATTTTATATAATTTGTGACAAAACATTAAGAATATTTTTTAAAGTTCTCCTTGTCGTTTATATTTCAATCCATTTTCTCATCAATGTGTGAGTGTTTAGGGAAATCCACGCTCCTGCGACATGAGAGTTCATTCTCAGCAGGCAGGAATTTCTCTGCATTTATCTTTCCACCAAAATTCTTAATTTTAGGGCATCCATGCATAAGAAATATAAAAATATTAAGAATATGTTTAAAAGTTCTCTTTTCATCCATATTTTCTCATCAGCCTGCAGGAAGGGAGGCAATTCTGGGCAGTCAGGTATCTCTCGGTCTAACACAGTGGTGAGTCTGAGATAGAGGAAAGTAGTGCATAGGATTTCCTAAAAGCGTGTTCACGAGTCTACGGAAACCGCAGCAGACCAAACCAGACGAAAGTGCGCATTCAGCGTCTGCTCTGCCGATAATGCAAGCGTAGAAGAAGAAATGTGCTGTTTACCTGTGCAAAGAAAGAAGCAACAAAAGAAAAATGTCTGAGGACTTCAGTGTTGAGGAAGAGCATGAGTTCTTTGCTGAGCAGAATGCGCACTTTCATCTGGTTTGGTCTGCCACGGTTTCCGTAGACTCGTGAAGGAAATCCTATACACTACTGTTTATGCTCTAAAAACATTCTAAATGACTTCGTTTCGAGTAAATTATGGACGCTACCCACTCAGGACACTTGGAATACATTGGACGAGCAGTATGGAGGAATATTGACACGTTTTTTGTGGACTTTTATGGACCTTTCTGCCTCGGGCACCATAGACCTCCATTATTTGAATGTCAGCAGACAGCAAGAAGCCTCCCAGATCTCCAGATGCATTTGAGATATCAAAAAAGTACTCCAGAGTGTTGTTCAGCATGGGGGTGAGTAGAAAATGAAGGCTAATCATGTTTTGGGTGTACTATTCCTTTAAGTGTCTCTACTAAACCTTATATGACTTGATGCTCTCTTCAAAGTCAAAAACTGAGTCAGCTTACATCAACTGCAAACAAAAGTGTAGGGTACACCCGGCACAAGTCAGTAGATCATTGCAGGGCTGATCGCCTTTAAGAAATAAGTTAAGCAAGGAGGAGCAAGGAATGACTTGGCCCAAATTTTGGCATCTGCCATTAAACAAAATATACAAACTATATATATATATATATATATATATATATATATATATATATATATATGTACTTTTTTGTTGCTTAATTTTAACTGAATTTAACTTAATACTTTTTTGCCCTGTAAGCTGGAGGGAGTCTTCCCAAGGGATCAATAAAGTACTGTCTAAGTCTAAGTCTATATGTATATATGTATGAAGAATTTGCCAAAGGAAGAAAAGGGTGTATGGGATGTATACAGCGTATACAATGCATCCACATATGACAGCTTTCTTTTTTCTTTTCTTTTTTTTTTTTTGCCTGGAATTGCTTTGCTTAACTTTACACATAAGCTCTTAAAAATGGTTAATCACTTTGTTTAATCATTACAAAGTCTGTTTTAATGACAGCTGGCAAAATGCTTCCAAAGACAAGGCAAATACAATTTAAACAGTAATAATAACTGTATTTAAATTATTATCTGAAACTTAAAAATTCATGATACAAATCAATAATAAATAATAATAATACAGATAAATAAACAAATGAATTGTAATATTTGCTAAATATGAGTTAACTCCACAAGTAACTTTGGAACAATACTTTTTTATTGAACGAGAAAAAACTCTTCACATTTACCATGTCCTTATGTGTTAAAGCAATAGCCCAAAAGCATAAAACATTTTTTTCCAATCTTAGTGGCCACCACTGTCATCAAGCATGTGCAATAGCAATGAGATTTCAATTACAATTTTTCTGCCTGCCTGCCTGTTTTTTTCAACCAAATCCAATCAATCGATTTTTTCTCACTCACTTCTCACAAGTTCATTATTAATAATCACATTTATCTCTTTTAAAAGCTAGCTATGTTTTCAATTATCCCATATGGGAAGTGACCTTAATTTAAAGGGCGGCAAAATTCAAGCTGTGAAACATGCTTGTAAAATAACTGCGTTTTACAACAAACAATGAAATACAGCAAACTAAGTTAAAAGCTAGTGCTATCACACAGAAAGTATTTTTCTTAATGAATTATAAGCAAACTTCTAAGAAAGGAAATATGCTGGTGAAGATTTTCAGTCATCCAGGTCATAGTCATTCCAAAAAAAAGAAAGTTAAAAACAACAAAAAGCTTTTTCGATTCAAAATGTCACAAATAGCGTTAAATTCAAGGTTTATATAGTAGCCCATCAAAACCTTGTTTTTGCTTTGAAAACATGCAAATTGCAATGGACGAAGGGGTGTACCCCTTTGGAATGGAGGTTGTTTGGAATCTTTTGTTAGCCTGCAAAGCTCCATACCTGTCTATGTCTCTTAAAGGGGGGTCGTTAAAGGGCATTGTTGGCCTGACTGAATAGGCGAGGTCCTACGCTCTCCTGTACAGGTGCTGCGATGATAGCGGGAAGGGATCGACTCAGTTGCTACATTGTAGGTTTTTAAAAGGTCAATCATACATTTAAAAATCCAGGTTTTTGTCCATTTCAATTTGCATGTTTTCAAAACAAAAACAAGGTTTTGATGGGTTACTGTATTAAACCTCGGACTCAACGCTATTCCTCACATTTTGATAAGAAGGGAAATTGATGAATTGATGTCACTCTGAGCTATGGCAGCCCGAGCAATTAATTTATTTAAAAAATATCTAGATTTTCTAAAACAATTCGTAAACAAGAAAAAAAATCTTCACAAACAAGGCATTTGATTAATTTATTTTATAGCTTTATATATATGTATATAGATAGATAGATAGATTTTGTGCTTATAGCTGCTCCTGCAGTCTGGGGGGATCTAATCATGAAGTTCAAACTGTCCTATTGTTATTTACAGCTAAAGGTGACCAAAACCTCTGACACTTCTGGGAGTAGAATGCAAAATAAATAAGGCACTCCCTTGAAGATCTTACCAGTTAGTCGTTTGTACATCGACACAACTGATCCATAGGCAACAATGCGGAAATCTTTTCTTTTGTAAAACAGTCTTTGATGATTTTTCATATTTTTGTGAATTTGTATTAAGTTATGGTTAGGTGTTGAGTTTAAAATAGTAAAATCACTGTCATTTGATAATTTTCTAACACCCTTGGGCTGCAATTTCCAATTAACATTTTATGCTGTGTATTTAGAGATTGAGAAGTTGTAAGTTGGTTTTTATTGTAATTTAGAGAAAGTTAAACGATGAATAATATGGATAACAAATCATATGTCTTACAGCTTAAAGGCTATAATCTCTCTTATGAAGGTGTCTTCCCTGCATTTCTTTTCGCAACCCTCAACTACATGATCATCCTGTTCTGCAACCTTACGATAATTCTCACCATTGTGCTGAATAAATCTTTGCATCAGCCAATGCATCTCTTCCTGGTTAATCTTCCTATCAATGACCTAATAGGTTCATCTGCACTCTTTCCACAGCTCATCAAGGAAATTCTGACAAACAGCAGAAAGATTCAGTTCTCAGCTTGCATCTTCCAGGCTTTTTTCATCCATATCTATGCAGCTGGTTCTGTGTTTATTTTGACTGCAATGGCTTATGACAGATATATCGCTATATGTCATCCTTTGCGTTACAACACTGTTATGACCAATGCTCACATTATGAAAATAATCACATTAGTTTGGTCTTCTTGTGTGGTTTTAATAGCTGTGCTTTTTATTCTTCTATTGCGTTTGCGCCGCTGTCGATCTGAAATAAGACATTCCTACTGTGATAATCCTAGTTTATTGACTTTAGTTTGTGAAGACACAACCATTAACAACATTTATGGTCTTTTTATTAGTGCTGTTACACAATTAATATCTAATGGGTTGGTTTTTTATACATATATTCGAATCCTCATTGCATGCTTTAGATCCAGACAGTCAGACACTAAAGCAAAAGCTCTGCAGACTTGCGCTACACATCTATTTGTTTTTTTGATGTTTGAGTGCTTGGGCCTCTTTACAATCATATCTTACAGACTACAGGATATTTCACCACATTTAAGAAGATTTATGGGGGTGTCTACATTAATTTTCCCCCCAACATTAAATCCAATAATTTATGGGTTGAAAACAAAAGAAATAAGGGAAAAGGTGCTCAACTTTTTCAGGAATAAAAAGCTTCTTTCTTAGTACTTTCAAGAACTTTTAAAAATGGACTGTCTCAATTCAAAATGAATTTAATTTAATTTTTCTATGTAAGCACGCATTTAACAGGTTTTTGTAAATGTTGCCCCTACAATGTAAATTAAATTGTAAAGTTACTTGTTATGCAATTTTACTTTGTAGTTAGTGATTAAATCCTGCAGAGATATTTTTCCTGTTTTAATCATGTATTTGAATATGATACATTTGTTAAACATTTTAGAATCATTTACATATTTGTTGGTGTATTTTGGGTAAAACCAAATTTGAAGCCCTCTCTGTTCTTGATAAAAGTGCTTTTTGTATGAGTAATATCATGTCACAACTACTGTAACAGAATTTCTGTAAATTAAGTGAAGGTCATCCAGGCCTTATGTCCAAGATGTAATTTAATTAGTTTTTTTTATTATGTGTTGATTTGCAAAAAAATTACTCTGAGGTAATATCAGCAGTTTATATTAGCTCTCTTTGCATTTCCTGAATTATTTTCCTTGTTTAAAGATGGATCTTAAATAAAAGAGAATGGAGGCAACTAAAAACTAAAAAATGCAATCCTCCTTTGGTTTTAATTGATGTCATTTATCACTGTATATACCAACAGGTTTATTTGGTGGAGAGTTTTGCCAAATTTATGTTCAGGTGAATTTAGTTAATTTGAAAACTGGTGTTTGTTTGGTTGATGTTAACTAGTCTCTTTTATGTGTATTTTGTTGATTCATTTGTTGTTGTCTGAAATAAGTAATTTGATGATTTGCTACCCTCTAGTGGACATTGAAGCTACAAAAAAACAAACAAAAAACCCCCAGAAAGGTCTATGCAAAATACTGTTTTTTATGTTGTATTAGTCAATGTAAAATTAAAACGGTGATTAATATTAATAAAGATTAAAAAGAAGTGCTAGAATAATAATAACTATATAATATTATTACTTGACTCCAGGTTTCTTAAAAAAAAACAACCCAAAACATATTAATGTTAGCTGATTGCTTTAAAAATGCAGTGTACAAGATGAATATTATATTAGTAAATATGATAGTGTATACCTGTAGTGTTTTGGGGGCCAGCGCCTCTCTACCCATAATCCAGGGCCCTATCAAATTAAAAAGAGATATTTCTTTATTATTCTTATCAATGCAGCTTGGTGACCCTTTTAGTTTGTGTCTGGCCTGATTGGTCAACCTCATGTCAATCATACATTTAAAAATCCAGTCAGAGAACAATTGGGTTTTACTATAGTTACATCACTTTGCATTTTATTATGTCACATTCATTTTCGAGGCTATTTAACATAAAGTGTCTTTTAAGACATTGTAATTTGATGTTGTTTTTTCTGTGCAATGGACTGTTCATTGTGCCCACACTGCATGTCAAAGTTCATTTTTATTAATTCGTTCATTTTTCATAAGATCCAAGAACTTATTATGATACCCTATGATCTTTATTGTTCTTCTTTTGGGTTGTTGTAGGAAATGTTGCACCATCTTAAAGTAGTATATCTTTGTGTACATAATTTCCCTCCTTTGGTTTGATCATTTGTTGTGGTTCCATTGTTTACAGTTATGAAGCAACACATTTTCGGAGTTGAAATAAGATTACATCCAGTGATGAAACAAAAATGGCATTGCTTGATTTCTAGGTGCAGATTTATCAGTGGAAAAGTGACCAATCAGCACACTGGAGGACAGAAAGGGTTCATTCAAGCTAGTTGGTCCAGGCAAGAACAAGGAGGAGTTTAGCTTCCAGCCAGAGTCTTGATACCAAAGTTTCAATGGGGGATTAAAGAGGATCCAGTTCATATTCCACAAGTTATGACCTGGACTGAAATCCAAGAGCTCATCAGTTTCCTTTGGAGCAAAAACACTGAAATGAGTTTCTTTATGCAGAGAGATAGAAGAAACTTGTCAAAGTTCAAAGGGCATGGCATTACCGCTATGGTTAACATTCAGACATCAGGAGGCTACCGGCAGCACTGCCTCATTGTGAGGCTGCATCCTCCGAAGGACCCAGCCCACCAAGATTGGATCCTTGGTAGGTCATGAAAATGAGGAGGCCGGAAGAGTTTGGCTATAGATTAAAACAGGTCGAGACCTGTACAGCTGTCACAACCCCTTACTCAGCATATGCACTGTCGCCTAGCAGCCATGACAGTTTATGCAAAAAACAGGCAAAGAACAGATGCCAAACTTCTCACTACTCTCTGTGTTAATTTAATTTCTGAGAGGCTTCAGCAGCAGTACTGTCAATGCAGGTATCAATTTGTATTTCCTATACTACACAGATATAGGAATCTGTGCTTAAATGTCAGCCAAACCCATTTGCACTGGTACAGACAAAAGATTTCAATAAACCAAACATTACCTGTGACATATCTCATCATTTAAATTAACTGTTTTAATAATTTAAGACAAAACTATGCACATACTTGTACCGTATTAAACTGCACTGAGAATATTCACCACTATTCATCGCCATTTTCCATTTTGCTCTGAGCACAGAGCAGCCGGCTTGCTTAGACTCGTAATGAACCACTGGATACCATAGGCCATAGAGGATACAGAGGTCCTGTCCTTTAAAAAAGAAGTCTGCATTTGTCAACCACATAAAAATGAGTCAAAGAATCTTAACAGGCCACGGCACTGCACTATGATGTAATCAGTCGACCAATCTGGCCTTTTGAGGAACTTTGCCGGATTCTAACACTGCACCACTGTAACATTCAGCTTTTTCATGATAGACCTAATTTTGACTATTCATTTGAATAATTTCTCCAAGAGTTTAAAGCCACATTTCAGAGATTCTAAATCTTTTCCAGAGTCTTTTGAAATTAAGGCAGGGCCAAAGATCCACAGACTATTATGCTTTTGAATTTGGGATGCAGGCCGTCACTTTTACATCACAATTGTCAAAATATCGAAAGCAAAATAAACATGCTCACAAGTATCTTAAATTACTTTCAAATGGTTTTGCAGCAGAGGAAGCAGCAAAATAAAGTACACATAAAAAAAAACATAAAAAGAATTACATACATATAAAAACATACATCTACTGTTTAAAGAAAAAGAGCAAAATCAGTCAATCAAAGCACTACAGACAAGCTACCTTTTCCTCCTGGATCTGATTAGGGAGAAGGCAGAAGGAAAAAAAGTAATGTTTGTAGTGGTCAGTTTTGGATATTGAAGTCTGAGCAATGAACCAGGTGGAAGAAACTGGAGCTGATGATGTAATGGATAAGTACAGACAGAAAGGATAAATTCTGCTTTCTTAAGCAAGCACTGGCTATAGAGATCACGCATGAGTTAATCACAAAGGTAGATTGATAATTAGTTAATTATGGCGCAAACTTTGATAATCCTTAATTTTTCCTACTTTTTACTCAGCTATTTTTCTAATATCTTGAGGTTTAATACATAATTGCTAGAAGATGACTTTAAATTAGACTTAGACAACTTTTATTGTCATTTTGTATACACGGAGTGCATACTAAACAAAATTTTGCTTTGTACAGCTTTCAGACAGTAAATGAATAAATGAGCAGCAGCAGCTTAGGAGTAAAATGAACATCCCAATTCCATAAAGTGCAGCAGTGATCAAAGTAAGCAATGTGCAAGAAAAAACATGGTACAAAAATGCATTAATATGGAATTTCAAAGCATTTCGAGATAAATATATCTTAAAATTGTCATGGTTTTGGCTCTCTTTAAGTTTTATCTATGATTTTTCATTGGTTTTATTTCCAATTTTTGTCATTCTATTCATTTTTTATTTTATTTGAGTTGTATTTTTGTTTTCCATCTGTTGCCCTCCTGTGTCAGTCTCCCTTTCCCTAACTCCTTTTCTAGACTACTCTGGTCACACCTGCTCCCAATCTGCTGATTACCCTGGCCTTTGTTTCTATCTCCAATATATCGTATTTTCACGACCATAAGGCGCACCGTACTAAAAGGCGCAGTCTCAGTTATGTGTGCCATTACTGTATTTAACACACACATAAGGCGCACCGTATTATAGGGCACGGGTTTTATATACCGGTATATGTCCTCTACTACGTTTAAATACCTCTACTGCATATTTAAAAATAGAGCGGGAGCAAAACTGAGTATGTTTGTGCTTTATTCATGTATTTATTACAAAGTATTAATCAAACCTGGGAGCTGGCCGTGAGACAGACACACGCTGATGACACAGAGCGCTGTGATCACTCCTCTGAAACAGTTTATTGACGCATAAATTAACTTAAAATGCAGAAATCTGCCGGCAGAATATTTTGCTTTTATTATCCTGGTGCCTGCAGTTTAGATAATTTAGATGAAAAACACCTAGCAGCTGCCGCGGTGAACCGCGAGGAGGCGACCCGGCCAGAGGCTGCTGTGGAATGGGATTCCTACTGACAGCGCACCGCTGGTATGAGGGGGTCTGAGCGGCTCCGACAGAAATAATATTGGAAGGTGGGATTGTGATCTGGATGAACTGACTGCAATGATTACGTTTTCAGGTGGACTTTCTCACTTAAAAACATATTAAAACTACTTTATTCCCACTGATCACAGCAAATATAGCAGCAAGGCAAAGAAAGGATAGAGTAGCTCCGCCCAACGTGGACACACTTTTGCACCGCGCTGCTAGAGCAGCAAAGCTGCTTCAGCCGCGCGTCAGAACTAACTGGTACAAGCAGCAAAAATGAAGCAGCAGACGCATGAATGCAGCATTACTTTGAACGGCCGGTTCACACCGATGTCGAGCGGTTGAAGTTCCTTGCAAGCACAGCGTTCATTTGTTTCACCATGTTTTTCACATCGACTGTGAGATGGGCACGCATGGAGTCACAGATTAACAGTGATGGTGATGAGAGGAAAAACATACACCTCCCTCAGCCAATCTTTCATCATCTCCTGAATGAGGAGATGAGGAGTTCTGCATAAAGCACATACCTGTTCTTTTATACACTATCCACGCCCCCACTTCCTCCTTTAACGTTCTCATGGTGGTCTCAACAACGTCCGCAGTAACAACACACATAGGGCGCACCACACATTTTGAGGGGAAAAAAAGACATTTATATGCGCCTTATAGTCGCGAAAATACAG